TTAAAAATACATATATTACAATTTTTTCACACGGTAATAAAAAATTTTACAGCACGGCAATGTGACAGTAGCCTGTGTCACTAATTTACTTGATATTACAATCTTTTCAGATATTATATGTTTTGTTTTGTTGTTACTTTTGTTTTATTGTTAATTAAATTATTGAATTTTGATCAATATTTCAAACAAACAATTCAGATGGTAATTAAAAGTAAGTAATTAAAATAGACGCAGGCAATAAACCTATATGTCAATACGCCGAGTAATAATTTATAACGATGCTTTGGATTTGCGCGATTCGCGGTTCAATTATCCACTATTTTAAACGTCGCATATGACGGCCTTTGTACATATTAATTCACGTCTGTGTTTGCCTGTCGAGCTACGAGCAAAGCTATCCAGAGTTCAGAAACCGCAAGCTGCTTCCTGCAAGCTACTCCGGAGTCTGATGCGTGGAACGTTATAGCCGGGCTTACAACCGCAGTAACTGTGTCGCGCTCCGTAACGCGGTGGCTTTGTTAAAAGTCAAGTGTTTACGTTCGGTGTTCGTATCTTGCCTCAAAAGATCGATTAAATGATCTCTCACCTGCAAACTCCATCGACGATGAAGAGCAAATCCATGCGAGCAATCAAGAATCCTGAAATACATCGTAGAAAACTCGACAAGAATGAATGAAGGGAAAATGGCGGACTCCATGAAAAGCTGGGGGAACGGAGTTCTTTTTAACATTATGTTTGAATGTTGAAGAAAACAGAAGTTTTTCTGCCACGGGAATAGTAGAAATAATTATCGAAGAAAAAAATTTCTCCACTGTATCGGATTGCGTAAACCGATTCTTACTAAATAAATAAGAAGAGTAAAAAGAGAGAGACCAATAAGAGCTGATCGTTGTCGGTCGAGCGTAATGCTAATCAATTAAAAGTTCTCGGCAATCTAATACTAATATTGTATACTACAAACATTATTCATTACATCATACGTATACGTGATCACCGATCTTTTAATCGATAAGCATTTTAGCTCGATCAATAGCAATTGGCTTTTACTTGCTCCTTTACTCTCCTAGATTAAACATTTTAAAAGCCAGGTTTTAATACCATCATGTAAATAAGAATGTTCATCTCGCAAGCAGAAAGTTTAATTCTAGAAAAAAAAAAAAAGGTTTCGAAACATAAACACATTGATAAAAACACACGTAAAGTGCACATCGTAAATTAAAAAGAAACCTCGAAGGAGCGATAGGATAGAAGATGAGTGCCCCGGGGGGGTTGTTGCCGGAATGAGGAAAGGAACTTTTGGCACGGAGTAATCGAGAAATATATATTCAAAGTTATTTCAAGTGTTTTCTTACCCAGAGCCCCACCGTGTTGCAGCTGCGCAAGAATTACGATATTGGTGTCGTGGTTAAGCGCGGCATATATATACGTCGAGGCTTTAGTAGACGAGAATTTAGGACTATCTTACTCGCGCGAGGTGAGAGAAACGAAGTAGAAAGTGTGTACACGCGTGTTATGTATGTGTATTGTGTATGTTGCGTGTATGTACCGTGTGAAACGACTGTGAGACGGTTTCGGCCTGATTCTGGAACTGATTATCAATTATGGCATATATCGATAAATCTGAAATTTCTCTCTCTCTCTCTCTCTCCTTCTCTCTCTCTCTCTCTCTCTCTCTCTCTCTCTCTCTCTCTCTCTCTCTCTCTCTCTCTCCCCCCTCTCATCTCTCTTTTCTTCTTTCTTTTCTTTTTTTCTTTTTGGTAGTCATCGGTGTATCGATGACACAGCGCGCTTTTCCCATTGTTACCGAGCGATGCTGATACAGTGAATATTAAAACTGCGAACACACGTGTTTGTGTTATTAGAAGCAGATTTCAAAATTATAATAATATTGTTACACAAATGTAGTATATTTCATGAAGCATTGGTATCTTTTAATTTGATTCATTTTGATTGATTGCTTGTTTTGATTAGATTATTATCAATTGCTAATGAAACATCAACAATAAATATATATTAGTTTGCAAATTAGTTGCAATAGTTGCATTTAAATTTACGTGTCCATACAATTTTTATTTTTATTATATGATTTTTATTAATAAAGTTTTTGCAATACAAATTATATGCACGGATAGAAGGTAACTGTATAAAGAGTTATTTTTATGACCGTACTCTCTCTGTCTCTCTCTCTCTCTCCCTCACTTTCTTATTTAGATTTCTCTAAAAATATATACACGTGTACTATACATACACATCAAAAGTATTCAAAGGCAAGCATTTTATAGCTAAAATATTTCTTGAAGTTTGTGTATATGTATATGTATCATATTATTCGAATCTGCCATAAAACCACTCGCTTTGACTACTACTTGTGTACCCAATAACTTTCAAGACCAAAGCTTGTAAAAAAAAAAAGATTAATACACAATTTTTAAGAACAGAAATTTTTCAACAATTAAAACTTGTAATATTAAAATGTAAGAACTTTCGAAAATCCGAAGTAATAAAAAATTTGATTTAATTTAGTCTGCTTCTTAGTGCTTATTTCTTTTGAAACACATATATGTTTCAGCATTTCTGGTAACAGCGGGGTCAATCGGCGTCGAATCTGCTCTTTCGTCCTGAAAATATAATTAGACGTAGTTTTTGGCGTCAACATGCAGGCGGGTGCATTTCGTTCGTTCTTCTTTCCTCATGCAGCTTGGTGCTCGAGCTAAAGGCCATTATCAGACGCTCATTGATCACTCATTCCGTGAGGCAAAGAAGATGATTCGATGAAATGATTATTATTACCGATAGATTGAAATCAAGAGAGCACAATGAGCTTTAATCTGCCAAATATTAATCACATTCGAGAAGAAATAATTTGATGTTATTAATCGCGCTCACAGTCATTTCGAAGAAGCAAATCAGATGATCAGTTGTTTGAGTTTTATCAGCAATTTACCAATTTACATGAGACTTATATACTTTCTTTGTATATATAAGAGAGTATAGAAGATTGATTATCTGTTCTTTTATCTATTTCCAAAAAATTTAGCAAAAATATATCGTTGGTAAAAATATTTTTCCCTTTTTTTGAAGAATAATAAGATTTTTTGATCCAGCTCTAAATCTGGTTAATTTTATAATAAAGATATTGAATCGCAATGATAGAAATAATGATGATGAGAAGAGTAGATTATTGCGTGCATGTGCAATGATTAGTGGTGTACCTATAGAGCTAGCTTAAGTGTCGTGTGCGTATATTATTTACGCGTGAACTATGTACATATTGTGGCTGATTTCCTAACCATTCGCAAGAAAGCGCTTATGGAAAGGATTATTAATACGATTATCGACAACAAATCAAACATTTACAAAAATTATTATCAATTCATTCAACAAATTATTCAATAATATTAACATTCAATATAATACTTATAATTATTAATTTATAAAATATACTTATAAATATAATTATGCTTATACAATTTTCTAAATTGAGACAATTATAATTCTGTTTTGAATAAAATAGTTGAGCTTTGTCTCATGCATTTTTTTGTTTGTAATAATTTGTCTCAGAACAGATTGCATAATATTCAATGTGGAAATTTATTATTTAAATGAGAATAAATAATTTATAGCAATTGGTAAATTAATATTTTAAACAGTATTTAGATCATCTTTCTCCGTTGTCACAGCAATTTCCATAAAGTCAGTAATTTTCATGCCGTATTTCCGTGCCAATCATCCTTTTCACAAGCTGCGTGTTTCTTCAATAAAGGAAAAAAAGTAAAAGAGAAAACAGAAAAGTAGGAAAAAGAAATAAAGTTAGACGTAACGTAAGCACTGTCAATATATAAAATAAATTATTTAAAAAAAAATAAAATAGATGTATTCAAGTATTAAAATATTCAAGTATTAAAATATTCAATCGTCCAAATATCATTTTCTCGCATATATTATATGAACTTTCATAACGTCTACATTTAAAACTAAATTTTATTGCTTTGTTATTGTAACCGTTATTGTACAGTGAATAATAATAAATGTAATATCAATAATATGTTATAAAATTATTCGATTAATAATTTATTTATTTTCGTAATACGGACATAATTTGAAAATTAATTTGTATTTAAAAAACCCATGTATTTAATGCAGTTTAGAATGACATCGGAATGAGCAAGAGATTAATAATTGCTTTCCTGTTATTATGCTATGAATTTAAAACGATACCAATTGTTCTGTTAAATTTAATGTTTTCAGTTGAATTTAATGTAATCAAGATAAACGTTTTGTACAAAGTGGCCATTATAAATAAGTTATTTGAAGTTTTTGTTTATTCAAGAATATCTTTTTGCTTTTTTAATCTCACTTAACGATTTTAAAAATAGAAATTTTTGTTTCTAGAAAATGTTAACATTTTCAAACCTCTTCTTTCAAATATTAAGCGATATTGAATAAAGTTATTTTCTTACAAAACATTTACATAAATTATTCAAGTATCCATTTTTATGTTTTTACTCCGAATAATTACACTACACGTATATCACGTATGATGTTTTAACAATATTTTTACTTTATCTATGAATCAATGTTACACAATAAGAAAAGTTTTTATGATCTTATTAACATACAGTTGATATACTTATTTCTGGAAAATTTAGAAATATCAGAACATTTTCATTTTCTACTATTTGAATCTTCTCGAGTATCTCGAATATCATCTATTTTTTTAAAGATCGAATAAAGTAAAAAAAAAATAAGAAAAGAAAGAAATAAATAGGAAAGAAAAAGAAGAGAAGTAGAGAGTAAGATAGAGAAAAGGAGAAGAAGAAGAAAGTGCTCTGGTGATCACTTCTTTCTAAGAAGCTAAGTTCTCGCGTGAAAGTTAGCCAATTAGGTATATACAGGTGCGTGTCCGGGCCAGTCAAATGAGAGCTCGCGAGCTGAGCTCTCAGCTTCATCTCTTTCGCTTGCTGATTTTTTTTTTCAAGCTTTTGGATACTGAGGCTTACCAGGTGGGACTCTGGGCTGGTGAAGGTGACCAAAGTGCCGTGGAGTCGCCTTGCATTTATCATCGCTCCAGCCTTCTTTACAATTGCAGTCCAATAGCGTGCGTTGGCCCAAGTTCGACCACGTGGTGGGCGCACGAGGGTCAGCAACATTGAGAATCGATTTTAGAATGATCGGTGTCGCATGGTTACGCGACATGTGCATTCATTGTTTTCTAGGCATGATTCTCTAACCGTCTCTCTCAGTGTCAGTCTTACTTTACAAAGGTGCTAATAATTGCCTCATGTTTTAGAATAACATTAATCGCACTATAAGTTTCAAAAAAAAAAAGAAAATATACATATATATTTTATATATAGTATATTCGAAATTAATCAGAGTTCTCGAGATTAGTTCGCTATAATTATTATCGCTATAACAATTAATTGTGTAAAAAATTACTGTAATAGAATAACAGTTTATTTAATCTATGTATGTATATATATCAACGTATAAATAAATACATAGATAAAATTTATATACATAAGTGAGAAAAATTATATATTGATTATAGAAAGTGCACTTCAAAATTTGTTTTTCTCGTTTTTTGTTTGCGTGTTAATATTAGTTTCATGACGCGAGAGAAAATTGCGAAACCGGAGAATTTATTTTGGCATGAACGGCGTTTTCAATATTCGTTCTTTTCTACCAATTTGTCTCTCGTCGCGTTTCAATGAATTCCCAGTACGCTATTCGTTTTTCGACACGAGGAAGGAAGCCGGGACGCGTGACAGACAGCGACATTGACAATCGATTTTGGAAATTCATTTCCACCTAGACTTATGAGATCCTCGTAATTTCCTACTAGTCCTCCTCTATACTCGCGCGCAGAATTGATTTTCAAGCCTTTCCGTTTTGACTGACGCAAGATCTTATCTCCTGGGCGTTCTATTAAATTGCACGATTCAAATAGAGCGAAGGAGAAAAGAAAGCAGCTGTTTAACATTTATTCTTACTTAAACTTTCAACATTAACTTCTTACTTCTCGCGGAGTCGAGATGCTAAATTCGTTGATTGCCAAGTTGTTGCGTATAAATGAATCGCGGACGAGACAATATAAAGTTTCGTTCGCGAGAGTTAAAAGTAGGTATGACTTTTAACAATAGTTTAAGAACGTTTCTCGTTGAGCACATCCCTGGCGGATAAATCCTCCGCGGTACGTCATAGTGTAACTTTCTCCCGTGAGCTTTCATAAAACGGGTTGACGAAGTAACCTTTGTAAAGCGTGCATTTGCTTTCCATCGAAAAAATATGTATGAAATTTCAGCAGAAGTTATGCATCGCAACTACCACCATTTATTACCATTTATTACGGAATATTTACCGATGTAGCGACATGTTAATTAAAAAAAGTATAATGTTAAAGCTATGCTATGAAAATATTTTTCGAGAAAACAATGAAATTTTTATATTCGTATGAATCATATTCATTTTGTATCACAAATAACAGTACATAAATGCATAAAAGATTATGTAATAAAAAATTGAAACATTGTTCTCTTTGTTAACACTTCTGTCATCGAAATAGTGGGTAAAAAGAATACGCGGCTTCAGATTACATAAAGAATATATTGTTAAACATTTTTACTGTTTTTGCTAGCACGGCGAGCACTTAGCCTCTTTCTAAACAATCTTTTATAAAAGACGAGCGTGCAACGAACCGTCTCCGGAACGAAACGAGTATAAGGCGCATCGTTAAACACGTCGCGGAGTATAATGCGTCATTTTAAGACGAGAATTATCTTTCGGGCGGTATAACGAGAGGAGTAAGTCGCTGAAAGTCCCCGTGGCAGGGGGTTCGTGTCGGCACATCATGCCCAAGCATTAAGGCGCTCGTCATAAATATGAGGAGACACGCGTTCGTCTTGAATACCCGTAAAACTTCTAGCGAGCCACGGAGTTCGCGCAAAATGAGAACGTCTCGAAATTACATGAGTAAATTCGCCGGCTTGATTTGTAAGTAAGTGAAGAACCGCTAATAAATAAGTTCGAATTATGGTAAATGTGGAGAAACGGTGACGTGAGAATCCTTATCAATATACCGGCATATAAATTTTTGAGATTGTACAACCAACATTAAATAAAACCAATCATTTCCCGAAATAAACTGATGGCAATGCTATCAGATTCGGAATCGGATTTATGTACACGAGGAATGCCTTCGGTATACCGCGATGGAATAAAATTCACCTGTGCAAGGATTTAATATCGCGGCCATCTCTCGTCGAGACGTTTTCGAGACGTCACGTAAGCTCGAGGCACTCGAGGTTTAGCGATTTCGTGACAGATTATGCTGGATTATTCGACGAGCACGCACACGAATAAGAAAATATACCCAGATCCAACGACTTAACCCAGATACCAGCAAATTTTGCGCGAGGTCTTTAAAAAATTTCATTGCACATCTCTGTCACCGATCGATTTTCCACGTCTCTCTACAAAAATTGTGCATTTCGCAAGTGACAAATGTGTCAAGTAACGGAAATATATTAATTTCTTATTAATATAAAATATTTTAACGTAACTGACAGACTTTTATTCCATCGCAAAGTTTTAAATATTACCGACGTTAAGAAATTAACATCGCGGAATGTCCAATTATAAAAGAGAGCGATTATTGTCGATAAATGCAGTTTGTACGTGCCACTTTATATACGCAATTTATACCACAGTTATTTTTTTCCTACGTGATTTGTATCGCGATTTTTATGAATGTATTTATTGCGGTTCATTCAGTGAGTTATTTATTATATATAATTATCAGATAACAAATGCAAGCTGAATTGTTACATCTACTAAACATTTAATAAAGAGCTTTAGTATAATAATGATTGATCGCGTTTCATTAATAACCAAAATCATATTTTCATAAAATATTATATATATTTATTAAATATTAAATTTATTTAATTATTAGGTATAACCCTATGTTTCAAGACAGTCAGCACTGTGACGTATGCATAAAAGAACACTTATTTAAGATATATTATCATTTGTGATATGCACATTAAATTCTTAAAGTTGAAAAACTTATTTTTAAATTACTTGAAACCTATATTTAAAAAAATGGAAGTTATATGAAGTATAATCTATGTTTGAAAATAAGTTTCGCATATTGAATAACATTAATTAGGCAAATTAATTTTATTTCTTAATTTTGATAAAATATCGCGACATATTTGATAATGTCACAAAATTTAGCCACACTAGAAATTAATCATTATGCTACCTGTAAACATTAAACTTGCGCTTATTAATTCTTGGAACTCGGTTGCCCCGCAGAGAAGTTCACTTGGTTAATTAAAGCGGCACCGAAAACGGCTGGCGCGTTAATTAAAAGACGGAAGGGCGTCTTGCGACCGTCCCAATTGCCGACACTATGAAGCAGAAAGGAGGGCACTCGCGATTGCGAATACTTCAAAGAAGATCAAGTCACTCTACGGTGCGAAGTGGAGCGCAAGAAACATATGGAGTATCGATTTAGGGACGTTATTAGTATTCAGTTATTAGAATGAGAGAAAAAGAAAGCATATTAATATACGATTATATGATAATCATTTCTGCGATCTTAAATATTTTGATATATTTGAATATATTTAGATATAAGATGTAAATATTAAATAAATCTTTTATAAAAATACTGGGTTATCAAAGTCTAATTTTACATATACAATTTTAACATTTGCTTCTTGTTCTACTTATGATGTTATACATACTTCGTTCCAAAACGGTATATATATGTATATATTTCATTTATTAATATTTTTGTACTTTGCGAGCCATTATATAGTCAATATAAAATGTAATGTCAATATAAAAGATATATTTTTTTGTTTATTAAATCTCTTTTACTTAATATTCAGAAAAATATGATTAAACACAAGACATTATAGTCCACTTTTTCGGCATGACGTGATAAACTTTTGAGTTTCCAGAATACTTTGACACCTAATATCTCAAAACTTAAAATTGTTCTGACAATAAATGTCTAAAACTGTCATTCTATGTAAAAGTTCTTTTTAATATATATATTTAAGACTAATAATTTTTTATATATACCAATATTTTCTTGATAATGATAATCAAATAGTAATAATTTGAATTTTATATAAAATACTTTACTTTTCGGGAACAAAAGATTTTATACAGCGTAAAAAAGATTTAAACTTTAAAATAAATAATAAAATTTTATATTCTTAATTTAATACTACATAAACAAGAATATATTAAATGTTAAAAATTAAAGTTGTAAAAAAAGTACAATTAGTATACAAAAGTATCTAAATAAACTTATCAAAGAAAAAAATCAGTCGAAGAGTACAAAGCTTGGCAACTTATTTTAAAATTATTCTTGTAATAAGATTTATCTAGTAAAATTGCTCGTTCTTTCTTGCTCACAGCATCAAATAAAAGAATTTAAAAAAAATAGTTTTAAGTTTTTTTTATGATGATTCAGAAAAAAAGAAAATTAATAAGCTTTAATAAACGTTATATATTCCTCTTCACTATTATATTTTCATAAACAATTGTTATATATATATGATGGAATATATTTTCATAAATAATTCATACTGAATGTGTTTATTCAAAACTTCGCAGTTATACAATGGACAGAGAGCAATAGAGTACTTCACGAATTATTGATTAAAGGAAAGCGTCGATTCGTCAATTGGTTGTGAAATCATAATTTTACTGAAAATCGTTAAATCCGCCCAAACTGCGCGTGAAATTTATGAGTGTGGCCTGGATTTACCTACCAACGGAATCGTGACTTATAACTCCCGATCATGCGTGTCGCGAGGTAATGATCGAGGCAAACCACACTAATGCACAATATGCGCACGACATAATTGCTTAAAAAGAGCAGCATGGTCTGTGAAAATGTGACACTTGCACATTATTCAGCTGACTTGTAGTCTTGAATTTAACAAGTCACGTTGTAATCCTGATAATTAATGCAATGTGTGTTATTACATAGACTAGTGCAAAAAATTTTGGGTGCAGGAAGGAAGAATTGCATGATTTTAGATGTAGCGTT